TACTTTGAGCCTGGTCATTTGTGCCTTGAGTGAGAACTCTGGTTAATTTTTCTTTAATCTATTTGTTATTTTCTTGGTTATTCATAGTGTTCTCAAGAATTTTTTCCAACACCAAAGTTCAAAAATGTTAATACCCTTTCTATCCTGCCTCTTCAAAAACCATTGTAATTAGAACTAAATTTAAGCTGACCATAACACTTTTTATACCTGCCTATTTTATTTTAAATATTAAATTTACATGTATGATACTTCAATAATATGTGATTGAAGGAGACTACATGTTAAATCACCTGGTAGGAAGTCATTCCGATAATTATTGAGTCAGTATTTTCTTTAGGTACTAGATGCCAGGTTGATATCTGAATCTTACATTTACTGTTACACAATTGGTTGTTCTATTCACTTATACAATGCTCTTCACATATAATAGCAGAAATCCCTGCCTATCAGAAACAAATGGCAGTAATTATCATAATTAGCAATTATTTTTATTTTGCAGTAGATTGTGAGGTTGTGCAGCACTTCAGATTCAGTTGCATAAAGTATGTGGCGGTGTGAATGCAGCACCTGTCTGCAATTTGTTAGAGTAGCCACACCTTTTCTCAAGATTGTGTAACTGTTATGAAAGGCATCTGCTTGGGACTTCCGGTGAGGACTTATGGTGAACTAGACGTCCCTGAAGGAGCAGGGACAGCATTGTGGTGAGATCAGCAGCCAGACAGTGAACTCTGGCTGGCGAAGTCTCTCCAGAAAAAGGAGAGATTTTGAGATTGCCCACGTATACTCCTGAGAGCTACTCCTCGTAAGTCGACTGCAGGAACCGAGGTTTTTGTGCTCAGCTTGTGAGTCGAGGGGCTGGGAGTTGAGAGATTTCAATAAAGCTCACAGCCATAATGTAGCCTATATGGACATAAGGTTTGCAGAACCTCATTTCTTAATTGCTTTCAGAAATTACTTCTTAACTGCTTTTCAACTATTAGGAACCTTTGGATCAACAGGTTTTATATACTCACTGAGTGAATTTCCTTCAATCCTTAGTGAAAGAAGTTTTAAATACAAGTTTAAGGACTTTAAAAATTATTTTTTTGGAATAAACAGCAAAAGTGTGATTAGAATGTTGATTTTGGAAAGTTACAAATGGACTAAGGAAAGAAGTTTTAAATACAAGTTTAAGGACTTTAAAAATTATTTTTTTGGAATAAACAGCAAAAGTGTGATTAGAATGTTGATTTTGGAAAGTTACAAATGGACTAAGGGTCCAGATGGATTTGAAATAAGATTTTGAAATTAATTATAAGAATCCTTCCCATGGGAAAATGCTGTTGTTTTTCATTCTTAAAAAAAAGAAAAACAGGATGGGACTTTGATGGCTGGATACTAGAGGGAACCAGAAGGAACTAAAGGTTACAATTAAAGGAGAAGAACACTTAAATTTGACTTACTAATACAGAATGGAGCAAAATACTTCAACATTGGACATATTGAAGGATATTTGTAAACAATGGAATCAGAAGTTAATTTTAATAGTGTCTGCCATTATACATAGGCTGTGTTTAAAGGACGTTATGGAAGAGGAACAAGTTTTACCAGAAAAGACTGAGACTGATTTGAAAGTGGATTTAAAAATTACAGGCTACAAGAATTATATGGAAAAAGATGCTACCCTGGATATATAAATGAAACTGGCTAATGTTGTAATAATTAAAAGGGATATACAAATAACAAACCAAAAGAGTGACTTGGATAATTCCCCTATATTAGATTTGCAAAAGAGACCTGTTAAAGTTTTAAAGGATTTTGTGAGAAGCGACAAAGAAAAAATGAAAAGAAATCAAGTCCTAGGACATTACTTGAAGGGATTAAAGATCAAGATTGTTAAAAGTAAAAGAAAGGAATATAGAGTTGGTTTATTTGATCAAGATTAAAATAGATATGTTGTTATCACTGGTAACCCTTAATGACTTTTGCTGACCAAGACTGAATGATGAGGCTTTAAGGATTTGTTTAGAGATAAAAGATGGGATATGGAAAGAAGAGATTGTTGTATTTTAAGAGAAGGTGATAAGTTACTAAAATTGTTTATACTTGTTATGATGAAAGGGAAAGTCACTCTTTATATAATTCTTTTGTTTTTCTTTACTATATTATTTTTTCTTTTCTATTTTTCTTTCTTTTTTCCTTTTCTACACCTTCTACTTTTTTATTCTTTTATTCTTTTTAGTTTGTAATAGTTTTTATATTTTTAATTGTAATGTTTAATAAAACTATTATTAAAAAAAAGAAAGGTATCTGCTTGACCCTGGAAAGACACCACTGTTTTAAATAGTTGGGGATGAGGGCTGAGTTTGCAGTTCTGCACATTCTGAAATACATTTTTGGAATCCTGTCCAAAATGCCATAAGGGATATTCCAAAGGGTTTCTATTCAGAAATAAACACAGGGAAACAACAGAGAAAAGAGGGCAATAGAGGCATTAGCATAGAGGAGAAGAATAAGAAATTATTTTGTTATCCATATTTTTATTTACAGAATAGTCCGGGGGAGGGGGAGAGAAAAGAGTAAAGCAGCAGATCTGCCACCTTCAAAATATAACTCTGCTTTGTGGGCAGGGCAAGCAGATGCTTCTCTCTTCCTCCTGCACTATTTTTTTTTAAATGTTTGTTACTTTCCGCAGAAAAGACTCTTAAATCAGATTACAGAGGAAATAACAAAGAACCAAGCTAATTTCTACTGTCCAACATATAACCCGTAAAAATGACACAAAAGAAAGAATTAAGAAGAAGTAGCACGCACTCAGGCACCAATTTTTCTTGCTGATTTTAGTGGGAGAGTGTAGAGACAGTTGGAATCCTGATGCTTCAGTGAATAAAGTCTTGGTAATGCAAATCTATTGGCGCTGAGTCTTTTTTTTTTTTATCCCACCTTTCTTATTTTTATAAATAACTCAAGATGGCAAACATACCTAATACCCCTTCCTCCTCCTATTTTCCCCACAACAACCCTGTGAGGTGAGTTGGGCTGAGAGAGCGTGACTGGCCCAAAGTCACCCAGCCGACTTTCATGCCTAAGGCAGGACTAGAACTCATAGTCCTGTGCTTTCTAGCCTGGTGCCTTAACCACTAGACCAAACTGGCTCTTCAACAACTCATGACCTTCTGATCACTAGAGAGCAGTAGAGTATAGACAGAGATTTAAGGATGTACTGCCTGCTTTTTGTCTAAGAGATTGCTAATCTGATTGCTAATCTGAGGTCAATTCTTTCTTTTAGTTCTCAGACCATACACTATTTAGTTCTTCTCCTGGTAGGAGGTTAATTAATTAATTAATCAATCAGTCATATTTATATGCTGCTCATCTCACAGAATCGTGACTCAATATTATTAGGTATGTTCTAGGCTTTGCCTATCCCTATACAGATAGTCCTCAATTAATGGCCACTCATTCAGCGACCACTCGAACTTATAACGGCGCTGAACAAGTGGTGGTTACAACTGGTCCTCAAGGTTCTGGCCATCGCAGCACCCCTGCAGTTATGTGATCGCGACCTGGGCACTTGGCAACCAGTTTACACTTATGACGGTTGCAGCATCCCACATTCACATGATCGTGATTTGCAAACTTTCCTGCCGGCTTCCCACAAGCAAAGTCAGTGGGGAACCCACCAGGGAAAGTCATAGGTTGCTCTGGTAAGTCTCCCCCAACTGTGTACCCTCCCTGAGCTTCGCTGCACTTGTGCCGCGCCTCCCTGACCACTTGCACACGCTTGCACACACTCTCCCACCCAGCAGCAGCCACCCCAAGCCTGCTGCAGTTGTGCTGTGCCTCCCTGGCCACCCACACACCCTCTTACTCCCTCTCCCACCCAGCAGGAGCCACCTGCCGGCCTGCTTGTAAGCCACCTGGGACTTGCAACTTCCTGCTGGTTTCCCCACTGACTTTGGTTGTTGGAAGCTGTCAGGAAGTTGCAAGGAGGTGCTCACTTAATGACCCATGATCCTCACTTAACGACGGCAACAGGGATTGCTGTCGCTAAGCGATGTGGTCATGTGACATTGCAGTTTATGACCGCATCACTTAGCAACAGAAATTCTGGTCCTATTTGCTGTCATAACTTGAGGAGTACCTGTAATGTATTTCCTTTAAATACACTGCCTTCTAAAGCCTGCTTCATGAATAATTTGGTCAAGTCAGATTCTCACTCTCAGGAACACCGAGAGGAATGCATGGAGAATGCTTCAATTTCCAACATAAAGATAGGGCTTTGGATCCAGTGATCAGTTTAAGCCTCCTCTTTCTATGGGTAACTGGGATCTTCACTGTACACATACTTTCTTTGTTAGACCTCTTCTCCACTAGTGAAGGAGCAACATTCCAAGTATTGTGGGGACATTGAGGAAGATGGCAACCTTGGATCATTTCCTCTTGAGTGAACTTGCTAATTCATTGCTGCACATTGTTGCCCTTGCATGCAGGGCACAATCTGCATAACTACCCAAAGGGAGAGTACCATTGCCTGCATAATAGAGCTGAACTGCCAGGAATACAACAGCAAAGCCTGGAGCTTCCAGAGATCAGCTACAAGTCTGGTGTTAGCCTCAACTGCTAATTATATTATTTACTAATAAAAGGAATTGTAAGTAATAATGAACAGAGTACATACACAACATGATCCATCGGAGATTGTGTTTACAGTTATAGCGGGTTTCACTGTATTGATCTTTTCCACTGTCAGGCAGAAGGCTACTCGAAGATGAGAACCTCACTTGCGTAGGCTATGGCAGGGAACTTAATGCTTAATATATTACAGCTGTAGTAGTTTTCTAAATTAGGTCATTGGCTAGGAAATAACTTTATTTTAAAACTTCATTAGATTGAAACTTAGTACTACCCAGAAGATTCACATTTTAAAGTTATTCTATGAACTGTTTTATATGCTCATTGTATGGTGTTCACTTCTTCCTGCTCCTCCTCTGACCGTGCTTTTTCTTTGATGTTTCAAGGGAGTGAAAAGAATTGATCCAAACATGTTTGCAGATTTCAAGAATCATTATTTTGGAGATGAACTTATGAAGCGCCTAGATCTTTGTTCAATGTTGAAAAAAAAGCAACCTAATGGCTACTATCATTGTGAATCCTCTATTGTAGTAGGTAAGAAAAATATGTTCCTCAACCTTTTCTATGCTACCTAAAAATGGAGAATATACGTCCAAAACTATTACTGATTTCTTTAGAGAATTTTGCAAATGAACATAACATTAAGAATGCAAGCATAAGTAGTAGTCTTTAAGTAAGGCTTTGAAGCTTTTTTATGTAGTATTGCCATTGCTCTTAGAAAAGTGGACTGCGTGGAGCACCCTGACTGTAGTGGATGCCTTTTTTTTTTCTTTTTTTTCTTTGGTTCCTCAGAACTGAAGCATAATTCCAGTAATCTGGGAAGATCACTATAGCATCTGTTGGTTTTGCTGCCACCACCAAATACTTTCCTGATTTGGAAATTCTTTTTTTTTTTTTAATGTATGTAATATGTGCATGCTCATGTATTCATATGTGTGTTTGTGTGTATGTGTGTATATATAAAAGTAACATGATTTGGAGGAAAACAGAAGGCATTTATTATAAAACTTCAGAAGAATTGTAAAATCACCCCCCTTAGGTTTAAAATTTAAGTTATAATCAATATATATATTATATTAATTATAAGTATATATATAGACACACACAGAATATAAGGCATTTATTATAAAACTTCAAAAGAATTGTGAAAGCACCCCTTAAGTTTATAATTTAAGTTATAATTAATATATATAATCAATATATAAATTATATATATATATATAAGGCATTTATTATAAAACTTCAAAAGAATTGTGAAAGCACCCCTTAAGTTTATAATTTAAGTTATAATTAATATATATAATCAATATATAAATTATATATATATATATATACACACACACGCACACACAGTGTATTGATTATATATATTAATTATAACTTAAATTATAAACTTAAGGGGTGCTTTCACAATTCTTTTGAAGTTTTATAATAAATGCCTTATATTCTGTGTGTGTCTATTCTTTTCTTGCAAATGTAATGAAACGTTTGCAAGAAAAGAACCAAGCTCAGAGAACCCCAAGGACTCCACAGTTCAACCCTGAGCTACACATATTCACCTCTGTTGGATTTCCTTGGGTTGAGGCTACAAGCCTCTCATACCTGTCCTTCTACCTACGTGTCCACCAAATCCCTCTTTCTTCACTTCACTTCCCTCTAGAATTTAAACTGAAATGTGGTGCCCTATGTTAATCGTTCTTTGAGTGACAGTTCTAATACCCTGCTATGGGTAGTGCTTACATTTATAAAAGCTGCCAACTTCACAAACTGATAAATTAGAACTTTAATTGCACATTAAAATTGCTTTCTCTGTCATGCTTTAGGAAGGTAAGGCTTCCTATGTTTGGGATCTGCTTATCTTCCTTCCACTGCAACAAAGTTGATGGAAACAGAGTAGAATTAGGGTTGTTTCTCACAGTTGATTTGAAGTGTTATGCACCTGTCCTTGAACCAGCAGAAAATTTGCTTCTTCCATTCTGTAGAATCCTATTCTGCTACAGTAACAAGGTCAGCAAATGGTGCTGTCATTTATTTATTTATTTATTGCAGGCCGCGTTAGGAAAGAGACTGGTAGATTCCCCTCGCTTTGTTTCCCTCCCAGAAAGTGACTCTTGCTGGCAGGAAAACAACCACCAATCGCTGTCCCTAATATAGAGTGAGGCACGTTTGTGCAGAAGCTTAGAATAAAGGATTTAGCCACCTGTCAGGTTGCTCAATTAACAAATGACAGGCTCCTGAACAGGGATAGTGGGTGAAATAGGTGGGAATGATTGATAATAAGCAAAGGCAGTCTCTGAGTAGCACTGCAGGGAACTGGCTGTGCTGGCAATGAGTGACCAAGGGATCTAGTTGACTTCATGGCTGGTAGAATCCAGGGAACAGCTATGGAGGATACATATACTGGAGGAGACTTCTGGAATCATGCAAGAAGTGATTGGTCTGTCTGTATGAACTGTCAATACCCTGATATGTAATACTTCTAAAGCTGAAACAGAATGGGCAAAATGGTGCCCTTCTGCCCTCCATTGAGGATAATAAGTAACCATGGTGCATTACACAGACAGCCATCGAAAGTACAGTTGCATGAGACTGGTCAGGAGCATTGTTTGATCAAGGCAATAGTTGTAGCATTCTTGCAAGAGTCCTGAGGAACATAAAAGAAATAAAATAGTAAAAATACAGCCATGCAAAATTTGTTGGCAGAAGCAGCAGAAAAAAACCTGTGATGTACCCAATCGTTACAGGTAAGGCAGAACCTGGCTGTCTTTCCTAGTTTCAATGTGCATAGGACTATTGCTATTTCGGAGGGGGGGGGAGCAGAAAACCTATGTTTTAAAAAAACAGGTCAACAATTTTTCCAAAGAGCACTAAATTTTGTTTTTAAAGAAGTTGTCTGCTTTCTCATAAAACAGCACAGCTTACTGTTTCTGTCAAGATGTGGTTTCCAGCTTGCAAGTGCAGGTGTTCTTACATCACAGAGAGAAACAGCACTGGAACCGGCCTTTTATTTGATCCCCTCCCTTTAGACTTCAGAGCTAAGGTTTGAACAAAAATAGAGCTGGTTCCTTGTAACTTTAGTCTTGTACCCAACAAATGGAAATGTCAAAGAGGAGCAGGGAGAATGAAAGGAAAAGAGAAACAACTTAGGTACAAAGCTTTCGAATTTTTTTGTAGAGGGATTCTGTGGGCTCTGATTTGATGGGCAAACTTAATTTGCTGGATCCAGCTTCAGAAAGCTTCATATGACATACATTTATTTCCAATTGAAGATCTTGAACAAAGTACTTGGCAAATTCTTCAGCAGCATCAAAAAGCAGGGAATCTTGAAAGGGTTTGATATACAGGTTACCAAGTAAGTTGCTGCAGGCATGAACTGGGGATGAGACAAAGGCAGTGTCATCAGCATGTTTGGCCCATCATGTCCGAGGTCTGTTAAATGCGGGTCCACTAAATCATGGTTTCTCTGTACTCCTGCAACACCTATTCAGCCACCTCAAGCAAAGGTTCCAGTCTAGAACCAATAGGGTGTCTTACAGATTAGATGATTTCAAGCCTGTTTTGGCAACATTTTCGCCAAATTTATTGATTTATTAATTTTAAAAGTACAATAAAAGAAAAATCAAGAAATGAATAAGAACAGAAAGTAGATAAAAATGAAGATTAATAAACAGAAAATTAGCTATTTTTTTAAAAAATATATTAATATAAATATGCATATTGGAATATTATATCAATTGGACGTTTAGTTAATACTAATATAAGTCAATATTAAAACTGGATTGTGCAGTAATTAACTGAAGCTATAAGTTATAGACAAAGAAGAAATTGCCATAATTTCTGACTGATATAGGAAATTTGGCAAATTTAACAAACCATAATAAAATTGAGTCTTTTAGTCTTATGTTAGGGATAACCTAAACTTTGGATGTGGTATAAGCCTGTTGTAAGATTTCAGTCCAAAAATTGTTTCCATGCTGAGTTAAATTCTGTATCAGATTTGTTTTTCATGTATGAAGTTTGATATTGAGACAAATTCCCGTAACGTAGTTCACCATTCTTCTACAAAAGAAGTTGTTCATAATTTCTAATGAGAAACAGAGAATCCTAGCAGCTGTTACCACTTACAGTGCTAATTCAGTATATTTTATGGGTATTTAGGGTTTAGTAATATTTAATTTTAAAAAAGCAGTCTGAAAGGAAAATTCACCTTTAAATTTACTTTCTGTTATAAATAATTTTCTAGAATTTTTGGACTGATTTGATAATTTGATTCCTGACATTTTATTATTTTGTGGTATCTTCATTTCCAGAGGTTCTAGTGTGATTAAAAATAAAGGCTTTAGAGGGGACAACCTTGTCTTGTTCCCTGCATTATGGGATATTTGGGGAATAAAATTCCATTTACAAGTATTTGGCTGTTTATTCTTTGTAGTTACTCTATGTAGGACTACTTTCTTATTTGATCTAGGGCAGGAATAAAGAATATCCATAGTGGCTTTTGTTTTCAAGGCTATTTTCCCCAACTAATATAAACCACCAGGTGCCTGTGAATAATCATACAGCTATTTTTTTAAAAACTTTCATTTCTCTACATTTTAGGAACTGCGTATTGCAT